AGGTTTCTTAAGTGTGACTCAGCCTGGGGTTTAGACCGAGGCACAGGAGATAATTGTTTCTAGTCTAGTTTCTCTTTGGGATGAGGAAGTTCTCCTCCTAACTTTGCCCTGGCGTCACCTTCTGTGAATTCTCCTCCTTCAGCTACCCCCTCACATTCCCCTGGGCTGCTGCTTTCCAGCCTTCCCGGAGACAACTTTGGACAAACAGTACCTGCCTCTGTGTTGAAGACCAGAGGTACAAGTCCACCTGCCTGCCACTTTAGGGCCACCTGGCATCACAAATGCAGCATTTTGAAAATCAGATGCACTCTTTTGCTCCCATCTAAGCAATGACTTCTGTGTTCTTCAGTCTTTCACACTTAAAGGTCCAATCCCCTCCACAATCAGTTGACGAGTCGTATAGGAGTCCCAGCCCCAATTCTCACACCACCCTTCCTTTCCATTATCATATTGCCACACTCTCTAACTGCTTTGTACCACTTCTTAGCTGGACTGCTGTGATGGTGTCCCTCCAAACTGGTTGCCCAATTCCTTGAAAACCCTGACAGAAAGCTAAGTGATTCTATTAATTTACAACTCTACTGATGCTATTATTGTTATGTGCCATTGAGTCGCCTGTGACTCATAGCAACCCTATGTACAACAGCCCTAAACCCTGCTCTGTCCTGTGCCAATCTCAGTCTCCCACACACCCACCCCCATTACTCCAGTCACTGAATCAATCTACCTCATACATGGTCTTCCTCTCCTGTACTGTCCCTCCAGCCTCCCAAGAATGACATCCCTCTCCAAGGACTAGTCCCTCCTTGTAACATGTCCAGAGTATGTCAGACGAAGCTTCAGAATCCTTGCCTCCAAGGAGCAGCCTGGTTTAACCCTCTCCAGGATGTACCTGTTTGTTTTCTTAGCAGTCCATGGTATATTCAATACTCTTCTACACCATCACATCTCAAAGGCATCAATTCTCCTTCTACACTTTGGGCAGAATATCAAATGATCCTGATGCTATTATCCTGCTAAAAATCTTTCCAGGGGTTCTCTCTTCTCTCCTAAATGAAGCACTTATTGCTCATCTTGGAAAACAACCTACTTGCAAGATTGTGCCTTCTTGGGACATTCATGGCATGCATTTTAGCCACCTGAGTATAATCTCCCTTCTCCAACCTCTGTCCCATCCTGGTAATTCACTCTCCAGAATGACTAGATTTGCAGTCCCATCTCTCCCTGCTGCATCATGAGACCTATCTGAACATTGTATCTCTCCTCCTCCTTGCCCTGTCTCACCCATCATACTCTGAAACTTCTCAGCACAATGCACATGAAGGTACACATATTTGCATGGTGAATTAATGTCAAGGTTACTTAAGTCCCTAGTAGAGAACCCTGGGCCTAACAGATGCCCAGTGTATTTGCTGAACTCTTCCTTGCGGTGTCTTAGTGGTAAAGGAATTGTACTGCCAACCGTAAGGTATGTGGTTTGCATCATCACTTACTCTGCAGGAAAAAGATGGGCTGTCTCCTCCTATGCAATTTACTGCCTCTGAAAACCTAGTGGAGGGTCAGCTGTGCATCAGTTCCAATGTGATGGTACTCTATCTATCTAGACTATGTTTTCTGGCACTGTGCTCCAGCCACACTGACTGGCCTATTACAGCCCTGCTTCCCTTTCTTCTCCTTTTAATCAGACAAAGGCAATAAATCTGGCGTGGAAAGCTCTACTCTCCTGCCCCATGCCTCATCAATCCTTCATTTCGTAGGATGCAAAGCAAATCTTCAAGATTCAGGTTAACACCAATTTAGACTTCTGTCAGTTGGAAAAGAAAACGTTGAAAAAGTTTGCATTTGTTTTTGTGTTTGAGATTTTTGGGGGGGCTTTCTTTTTTATTTTTTAAAAGTCAAATACTTTTTTTTTATTTCAAAGAATTTTTTTGAGATTTTAATGAAAGTTTATAGAGAACTTGGATTTCCATTCATTCATTGTTGCACATCTTCCTCCTTGCCTAGGCCCCAGTTCACGTTTCTCTTTGAAAAAGAAAAAAAAAATCTTTCAGGGTTTTATTTTTTTTCAAACCTAGGGAATATGTTGAAAGCTAAGGAAATAGGACCCTGCTACAAAAATAGGTGAGCACATATGTGTAGGCACATGCACAGACATGCGCGTGCACACACACTCTCTCTCTCTCACTCTTTCAAAAACCAGTCTAGCTTTCTACTCAGACCTGTCAAGCTAATCTTCTGTGACAAGGAAGCCGACTTGGTAGATGAAGGGGGAAACAATAGTTGGAATTTATCTTTGCCTGGCTTCAAAATGTGTGATTCCTGAGTCCCACTCAACATCATAATTATCATTAAGGTGGATAAAAGAACAGAGAGGGGGTTACAATTGAGGGATACAAGTGGCACCCCTAGGGAGTCAGCCTTGAGCCTAGTGGCCCTAAACATTGGCATGAATGGACTAGGGTGATAAAAAAGAGAACATATTTAAAGACAGCATTAATGTCAAGGGGGTGTGGGTGGTGTTGATGTAGATGAACAAAAAAAGTGAGATTGGCAATTACATAAGTGATTAACACAAGTATGCAGGCTAGACTTGAGGTCACATTTACGGGAGAATCCCCCTCCTCCAAACCAGTAACAATCAATAACCCAACATTGTACTAAGAATGTAACATTGCAATAAAGAAATAAAGCATGCAGGATCCTACAGCACAACTTGTATTAACTTTATCAGCTTCCAAACTCCTTGGTTAAAGATGAGAAAGAGGATCCGGACCATATTCAACACTCAAGAGAGTACCACAGAAGTAACTAACCCAGGCTAGGGCCTGGGAATGAAAGACTTCTACCAAAACAGTTAAGTGAATTAGGTTTATTAAAGATGGACATCATAGTATGGGTAATAACAAACAAAAAATAGAAATAGGTTTAAATAGCAACACATGAACATAAAAGTAAATGTAAAGACAACTTTCTTTAGTCTTAAGGTTGATAAATGAGACATCAACTGAAAACAGATCGATCTAGGATAGCTTGAGTTTGCCACAGGTTACCTGGAATGTAGACCTGGTTTGCCTCTGAAATACTCGCTCCCATTCTACATGATTAAAACACAACTTCAAAGTACTTATACCTAAATCCATTGAATATTAAGAGGCAGTTAAGGCCTCAAAGCTCTGGTAGCTTAATGGTAAGACGTTGTGCTGCCAACCCAAAGACATGGTTCAAATCCACCAACTGCTCTGAGGGAGAGAGATGGGCAAACTCCTCCCATGCGATTTACAGTCTCTGAAAACCCAATGAAAGGTCAGCTCAGCTACAAGTTGTTTCCAACCTGCAGCACACACTAATCAATGCCTCAATGGCTATAAGCCTCAGGTTTTCTTATGACTTATAAAGATCAATTCCAACAGAAGATGAAGCTGTTCCTTATGACTAGCACTGAGGGACATGAACAGCAAACCTGCCTCTAGATAGGGCATATTGTTAATGCACTTGGCTGCTAAGGGCAAGGGCACAGCAGAAGGCAGGCCTGGTGATCTATTTCTGAAAAGTCGATCCCTGGAAACCCTACTCTGCTCTCCAGAGGTGACCGTGAGTTGGAACTGATGGACTCGACTTAATGGCAGATGGCTTTAGCAGCGAGCCAGACCCTTGCCTGTGTAAATACAGTGCAGAGATTGGATCTGTGGGATGGCCACACAGGTAAGAGGATTCTTTGTTTTCCACTAATAATGAAATAAGCCCATGGCAACACTGGAAACTTGAGGGTGTAGCAACCCAAGTTGTGTCTGTTTCCCAAACGTTATCTCATTCAACCATTTTCTTTTAAGGCAAGGGAGAAGACAGAAAAGGCAAAAAATAAGACCATCATTTTTCTTAAAATATTGCTGGTAACTAAGAATCACACAGTCAGTTGCAAGTTAATTCTTTAAATTTAATCAGTTCTTTATAAAACTTCCCAATTAATTAGTAAAAGTTGGCTTATCTCAATAGCCTTAAACATTGGTCACTATTTAAACAAGACAGTCTAAAAAAAAAAAGCAATCACATAATAGTTTATAGTCATTTACAAGTGGGTGGTATACATTTAGATACAGAGGTAGAAGTTCACTTTTACAATGTTTCACTAATACACATATACCAAATTCAAGGCACAAAATAGTTTGTTTTACCAAAAAATACTGTAAAAATCTCATTTGCTGTTCTACAATGTGAATAAAACGTTCAAAAGAATCTTTACACCATTCCACACATACTCCATAGAATATGGTTCTTTTCCCCCTTCACTAATCATTGTTGGCACAAAAATGGGGACTTTTCTAGGTAGAAGTTCCCATTTTTAGAAACTATTTCCTTTGTGGGAGCCGCTCTGTATGCTAGCTGTGAATGTATCCAGAGAAATGAGACCCAGCAACTTCCTGAGGAAAGGGCACTTTCTTAGGCAGCAAAATCCACAGGTAGAAAAATCTAGGGTCTTTTTGGATAATTAGGTCTCCAGGGTAATAGAGCACTTCAATGAAATATTTCCCCAATAAAATTGAAAATTTGGGTGATATTTTAAGTATTATGACTTTAAGAAAGAGACCTGATCAACTTTACTGTAAAACTCAAATACAATTCACCTCAAATTGATGGCAATTTAGAAAGTCCTTGAAAATAGAGCTGAACTGACAAATACCATGGGAAAAAAGCCACACAGGGTTGCAAAACTAAAACTAAGGAAACATGAGAAAATATAGCACTATTAGTCCTTGAAGTGGCAAGGATGTCAACTGGCTAGAGTTTAATGATAAGATTAATAAACCCTAAGAGGATTAAGTAAAACAACACATGACACATTATCTCTAGACTCTCTGTTCATGACAAAAAATAATGGTTGTCTGAAGATGTCACACAGTGCATAATCTAAAGGTTTGATTGGTTTTAGGGTTCTCTCTCAAAGATCCCCGTTGGCAACAACCTAACTTCATTTTTCTTGATCATATCTTCCCAGCACTCTATTAATTCACACTTTATTTCTTTAGAAGTTGATTTTAAAAAACCAAAAAAAAGTCAACATGGGTATAGATTCCAGAGGGTGTCAGTAATGTTGATGTGCACTGGATTACTGGATTGAAACATTTTGATCGTCTTCTGATACAAATGATATTCAGTACCAAAAAACCTGCAAGGTTCTTAGATTCCATTTTTTGCTTCATTATTGTTTGTGGCTTGCTTTCTTTGAGCAATAAAGGGATACATACACTTGTCCGCTCCTAGGAACCGATACATGCACACCACAGCTTCGAAAGGGAGGATGCTGAAAGAGAAGATCAGACTTGTTAGCGAACAAGCAGTCGTTTCTCACCACCACCCCCCATACCCCCACTGGAGGCACTGAGGCCCCCGCAGACACCCTCAGCCATACCTCTTCATGAAGGTCACAATGTACATGAGCCGTGGTGTGCAGATCATGGGCTGGTCGGTGAGGATGGCCTGCATGGCCTGCTTCACACAGTAATCGGGCTTCAGGGGCGGCAGGAAAGGCTCGATTTCTTTCCTGAAAATTAGAGATTAAAACAAAACCGAACAGACTCAGAATTGACCCAAAACAAGGAAGTGGGGACATATCTCAAAAAGCTCAATGGTGTGTGTATCTGACTGAAGGAGCTCTGGTGGCCTAGTAGGCTGTGTTGCCTCCCCAGAGGCAGGTGGTTTGAATCCGCCAGCTGCTCTATGGAAGAAAGATGGACAATCTCCTCCGCTGTGGTGTAGTCTCTGAAAAGGTGCGGGAGGGGCAGCTCAGAATTAGTTTCAACTCGATGCCACATAGCAACAACATGATGCGATTATGAACAGCCTTTATTTTCCCTGTGCTCTGTGTCCTCCAAACGCTATGACCATATTTTATTTGCATGATTTGGGAAACAAGTTACCAAAAGAAAAAAAGGCAAAATTGGTCTGCTTTCCCTTAAAATGATTGACTGATATTCATACAATGCTTCAAAATGCATTTCAGATTTTTTTCTCCAGTAGAAAGAGTCGAGGGTTATAGGATGCCAAGCTTTCCGTAACAAACACAGTTATAATAACTGTGTTGATACTGGCATGACCTTTGTAGAAGGGCAGAACAGGGAAAGCTCCAGAAGGTCTCTGACGTGAGTGCACACAGACATCCTACTTTTCAGTTCAATTAATTTCATTATATGCCGAAATGACCTTACAGCTTGCTCCTTTTCCTTTCTGTTGTCCTGCCACCGCTTCAGATGCCTGCACCTGCTGCTTTGCTAGGCAGGAACCAGAACTCTTCCAAGCCCTCTGTAGCTACTTGAAAGTATTTAAGAGGAAAACATCAAACCACCCTCACCCACTCTCAAATACAAGGACAAAGAGGCCAGAGGCCAGGCTATGCCCGAGGTTGGACTCGGGTCAGTTTGAGCAGGGATTATTCAACCGCAATGCTTCCATTTTAAGGATGGACGCAATAAGTCACCCTCTACCTACTTCACTGCTTGTTCAGGTTCAATGTGTGTTAAGAATGGCCCCGAGGCCAACAAGGCACTAGTTTAGTTATCTTCTTTTGCCTTTCAAATGCATCCATGCAAAGATCTCAAAGTATGCAGGTCCCACAGTATCCTCTTAATGATTCATGATTGTTTATTTGGCCCAGCTCAAGTCAGACGGAACTTGACATTTCTATTCCCATGTGCCTCCTTTCAAAGTGTGTGAGCATTTTATTTCATTTTTAGTAAACCCAAACACTTCTTCTCACTCTAGCTATGCACACTCTCTGCAAAGAAAGATATTTCCAAATCTGGAACGTAACATGAAAAGGTCATTTATAATAAAGTCTCGCAGCTCTTCTCGGACAATGAGACTGTTTCACTTCCAAATTGGTCACATTAAAATAATTTCCCCTGGAGCTCTTTTTATTTTAACACCGAAGAAAGGAAGCCTAGTGGTAGACTGGTTAAAAGCTCAGTCACTAATCCAAAGGTTTGTGGTTCAAACCCATCAGCAGTTCTGTGGGACAAAGATGAGGCAGTCTGCTCCTCTAAAGAGTTCTAGCCTTGGAAAGCTGACCAACAGTAACACCCTGCCCTCCCGAGTCACTGTGAGTTCAAACTAATCTGATTCTATTTTTTTCTTATTTGGGTTTTTATTACTGCTGAAACAAAGTAACTCCTAAAGAAGTAGCTTACTAAGAGAAATCCTATGTATTTACTTTTTTCTCCTGAGAGAGGAAGAGAAGCTGGTTCGCATCTGGTGCTTCTAGTTTAAGGTCTGCAGTTAATACCAGTTAATACCAGTGTGGCCCAATATGGACAGCACTAGACTGTATGGCTGAAAAAAATGAATTGGCAAATAATCATATTATTTATATTTGCACAAAAAAAGGGGGGGATAGCAACAGTCTCTCACTCGGCAATCTTACACATCCCAATTTTACACATTGTGACCAATGAAAACTACCTACAGTTAATTGTTAAATGTTAAAATGTAAGACTGGCAATATGTGAAGATCCAATTCCCATGTTCACTCACTACAGAAAGATGGTTTTTTAGACAGCTCCTCATCTGCAGCACTGTGGGTTTTTACTGACCTGATCCGGCAGCCTCTGAACATGCCAGTGTCTACAAGGTAAGGGCAAACCAACGTCGTCTTAATGCCATCCTTTTCAGCAGCTTTCAGTTCATGGCTCAGAGATTCATGAAAACCCACAACTCCAAACTTACTGGCACAGTAATCCTGAGTTAGAAGAGAGAGAACAAAAATTCTCAGTATGCACATGAATCCCCCAACCGAACGGAAGCTCCCCTGGTCCAACTGCTTGTTAGATGTCTGATATACAAAGTTACAGGTGACTTAAGCACAAAAAGGGGCCTCGTTTTAAGGGAACGATAGCTGATGTGGTTCAGTGCAGAAATAATATTTTCAAACCAACAGAAGAAACAGATGAAAACTTTTTGCCACATCAACCAAGGATCACATTACTTTGGGGAAGTTACCACAAAGGATTCTGTGAAAGCTAACAAGCTTAAGTTAAAAATGGAGAGAGGTTCACTTTGAAGTGTCTGGAAAATTTACAAATGGGCTCTTGTTCGGGAGACAGAGAAAGAAAAACCAGTTTGTTTAAATTAATGCTAGAGGAACAAAGGCACGTCTAGCTTGGGTTTTAAGTTGTTATAATTTGACTTATTTTTCACAGTGAAGTGAAAATGAAAATGATAAGTATACCCTGTAAACTTAAACTAGAACTTAATCTTGAGACACCTGGTTTCGAAGTGCTTCTCCATTACCCAATTTTAAATTAAAAAATGGACATAATGATAATTAAATCCCCGGAATGCAGCTGTCTGCTGCACAAAGAGCTGTTTTCTATCTTATGTAAATACCACAGGACTATACACACACACACACACATGTCCTATAGTTTCAATATGGTGAAGAATAATTTGATTAAACCTTATTCTTTCAAGAGGCTCATGTCTATAAATGTTAAGAGTCTAGGAGGCATCACATTTGTGATGGTCATTTTATCTGCTGAGCTAACACCATGTCAAGGGGCCTTACAGAGTCAGCTCATCTAGTCTTTGCTGCTGCTCCTTGGTCGAACTTAAGTGACAGACTGTGTAGCAGGAGAGGTCCAATTCCATGTCAACAACTGTCAGCAGGCCGATTCTTCAACCCAATGCTACTGTTACATCCTAAGGTGGCATCCAGGAAGTGAGCTTTCATGAACTGTATCATCCGTGGGAATTTTGGGTATCCATCATAAGGTAACCCATTAAATGAAAGAAAGGCTTTATATCTGACAAACCTCAACTCCAGCAGTGCTGAATAGTCCCAAGGAGCTTGCAACTGTCACAATATGTCCATGATTAATCTCCAGCATTGTAGGAAGAAAAGCCTTAGTGGTCTGAAAAACAACAAGAATCAAGCTTTAGAAACAACATCATGAATTTCACCCAACATCCAATTCAAGATTACAAGACAAATTTTCATATGTATGCTCTATTTCCCAATTTATTACAAAATATCCTACATTTATTTTCAAGTGTCTGGTTATTTTGGCACCATATCATTGGCATGACAGGTCTATCAGAAACCATGGCCAACAAAATTCTGACACATGAACTTCTGAAGCCAATGTCCAGAGATGAAAAGAAAGTCTTTCCTAGAAGGGTCTTTTTTACTTTCCAAATGGTAAGACCACTGCCGTTGGGCTGATTCTAACTCATGGGCACCCTCCATCAGGTTTCTCAGACTGTAAATCTATACAGGAGACTGCTCTATTGTTTCACAGAGCAGATTGTGGATTTTATGTGTGTACCGTCAAATTGGATCTGACTGGTACAGGAGGCGATTGTTCCTCCTCCTTCAGCAGAGCATCTGGTGGATTTGAACCGCGCACCTCTGGGATTGCAGTACAGTTTCCTGCCACTAGGCCACTAGAGCTCGCCAGATTGTGGATTTTAATAGCTAAACTTTCGGTTTACTGTACAATCAAAAGCTCCTTTTGCAAGTGATGGTGCTGTTGTTGTTAGGTGCTGCTGAGTCAACTCTGACACAATTGGATTCAGTGCCATCCTACAATCTCCACTGAATCATCTAATTTAAATCCTTCCCACATCAAGCCGTGACTCCACGTGTGACACATTAGCGCAGCAACCTGATGATCTGTACGCTGTTGGTGGGTGCTGTCCAGTTGGCTCGGCAGGATGCAAGCCCACCAAGGCCTGCACCATCCTCAGGCTCAGTTGTGCTTCAGCCCACTGTTGCAGCCGGAGTGTGGGCTCCAGGAAGTAGAGTTCTGTATTAATGTTAACACATGACCATGACTAAATAGTAATATCCCGACAAGTGAAGAGCTGCTCCGGCACTGTGCTCCAGCAACCTAGGCTTTGTTAACAAAGTGTACTATTAACAGGCATAGGAAAGTCAGTCAGAATGGCAGGACAGAATCATTCGAAATGAGAATGTGTCATAATGCTAACTCTGCTCAGAATAAAACCTGTAATGTTTGAATGCCTACACCCCACTTGTGGGGTTCCTGGGGACTCACTCTTCCTTGGAGGCAGATGTAAACACAGGGGTTATGCAGCAGTGGACAAAGGCCATTTCCCCACACTAATTTCCCCCTCTCAGCTCTCTTCCTTTTAATATGTAAGGCTGTATTTTTGGGGGGAAAATTTACTTCAAATTGTTTAAGATGACCTAATTACTACTCTACCAGACTCCCAACAGTTTTATAACCTGCTTCTTAAAAGAAAGCAGCAAATAGCAATCTGTCTACTGTTGAGTTATATCTTACTGCCAACACAGTTTCCCATGATTTATGACGTTAAAAAAAATTACTACACAGCCAACTTAGAGAAAAGCTGTACTTTCTTAAAATTCTTGGCTTAGGTATCACTGAGCTTTTGTTTAAAACACGACTATTTTATGTTATTGTAAGTTTTACAAGATCAAACACAAAGATTCCATGAATGTTGGAGGTTTTTTGCTACTCCAGTCCATACACAGTGGTCATACTAACCTTTGCCAAGTATCCTAGGTCTTTTCTAGTCTGACTTTTGCACAACTGCGTGTGACTTTTACCCCCACCTCGTACCCTGTCTTCAGTCTCCACGCTCTTCCTCATGTTATGTTTATTCTCACCTGTCAGTTTCCCCCATGAACTCTGCCATGACAACCTACCTCGCAGTTCCTTCCTTTATAACTCATGGTGTGATAATAATATATACACATAGCATCTCATGCTCTTTGAAGTGCTTTCTATTAATAATACCACTGAGGTCTCCCAATAATTGTTTTATTCAAAGTAGCTAGGGTAGTAAGCCTTTATCTAATATCATCCTACCCCATTTTCACTTTGTCTATATTTCCCTAAGATAATGTTGCAGCTTGATTTTTGTAATTAATAAAGTAGGAATGGTTAGGGCCGTTATTATACTGTCGTTTTGATCCGTTTCATAGCCCAAAGAGCTGCGAACTGGTACTTTCAGTAATTATCTGAAATTCCAGTTTAAATCTTAGCTTAAATGCAGCCAGTGCCATCATATCACAGATGAGGAAGGAACACCAGAGAAACAAAGTCCTTGGATTATGATGCTGGTGAACAATGTTAAATATGCCACGTAATTTCAAAATAGGAGCTCTGGTGGCACTCTGGTTAAGGCATTTGCCTGCAAACTAGAAGACTGGCAGTTCAAACCCACCAGACTCTTCACTGAAGAAAGATGAGGCAGCTTGCTTCTGTAAAGACTTACGGCCTTGGACACTTTGCCACCCTGCCCTACAAGGTTCCTGTAAGTAATATTGATTTGATGGCAAAAAGATTCCAAGTCCAATCTAAACTAATATCCCTAAAAGTAATCAAGCCTTTAAGATCTAGTTATGATTAATTAACCCTGCACTAAATGATTCAGAGATCATTTCCAAGTTCTAGAAGTTTGTCTAGTCTTAGAAGACAGAATTTAGTATGTAGAAGCCTTTTTTAAAATGCATTATTATTATTATTATTATTATTATTTGGAAGCCTTTACACACACACAATTTAAAATTCCTAATACAATTAAGTATAAGACTCAATATTAAATCCTAAGAACTTACAATATAAAATATCAGCAAGCATACCTGACAAGTCTGAGCACATGTTCTTTTAAACAGTCAATGTCCACACTGATTTGAAACAGGCAGACAGCAAAGTGAATTGGCACTAATGACTTCCACATATTCAAGGGCTGTGTTCTTGCCTGCAGGTGTTAAATGGCTAATCCAGAGCTCCAGCACCATATAAAAGGTAGGTGATAGAAGATTAACAAGGTCCTAATTGTTTTCTAGCTTAATTTGTTTTAAAGGTTCTGAAACTGATGAATGTCACATACCCCTCAGAGGAAAGTCTGACGCTATTAACCAACAAACATTTCTTTTTTTTTTAATATTTTATTTTATTTTCAAACATTTCTTAAAGATCTACTACACGCAGGTACTGTGCTAAGATCCAGCCACAGAATAATGGGTAAAGCAGAGCTTGTCCCATCCCTAACTTTAAGCAGAAGTGATCCTTACCAGCATTGGATGATATTAAACCAAGAGTGGCATCCACTTCCTAAACAGCATGCCTCTGGGAACTCTATGAACTTTGATAAGTGACGATAGTTACAGAAAGGCTTCAGGCCTTGTACTGACTCCATGGCAATCAACAACAACAATAACAAACAGAAAAGTTTTTTCTCTTTCACATAAGCAGGGTATTTGCATATTAAAAAATGTGATTTGGGGCTGTTTTCTAAACTCCTCCCCTTAAAAGAGGGAAAAAACGTGGTAGTGGCAGGTCATTTGTTTTAAAATGATAAAAGAATCTAAACATGGCTATGTGACTAAAATCTTTTGCAACTGTAAAATAGAAATCTTTAGGAAAAGAGGCTTTACCTTACACAGCTAATAAAGTGTGAAACTGGTTGGTTTGTTTTAAAATAAAGCTTCCTTCTGACAGGTAGGAATCAGTTCTCAAAATAGAGAAGGTGGTGGCAGTGGAATACTTTATTGAAAATATGTCTTTTTTTCCCTTTGTATTTTTTTCACTGGCAAAACTGGCTGAGTAATAATGTCCTCCAATGAGTCAATAGATTTTCTACATTCCAAGACAATGGATGATATTCTTTAGTCTGAAAGGCTCAACAGCTGTAGGAATACAGTGATTACTACAACAGCATTGAGAGGAAAAACCAAGTGTTGCGGAGACCCAAGTGGAATAAGCCATCCAAGGCCACACACTCAGCCTCAGAACCCAGACCAACTGGATTCCAGAGTTCTTGTCAAATCCTGAGCTCCTCACATCAGCCCAGCGAAGACAACAAGCCTGGGATAAGAGCATTCACATCAGGACTGCTTAGACTCCTTTTTAATCCTGTGCTCAGGTTTCACACTGGAGCCCAATACATCTGAGTGAGCACCAAGGCGGTTAATCATTTCCTTTGCTGCCTGAATGGAGGTGAGCAATTATCGCTGGTGTGTTATTTCCACAGCCAAACTCCTGCCTTATGTCTGGGGCACATTATCAAATAAACCTTGATCAACACTAATTCTACTTCTTGCTTTACAAGAAAAATGCTATAAATGGGTGGCTAGAAAGCATCACATTTTCAGGATTTTTTCCCCCTTGTAATTACTCTTGCCCTCAATAGTCTGGTAGGTGACATCTGAGATAGCACAGCACAGTCGGCCCTTGACACAGTTTGACAGCACAAAGAAATCTGGCACTTTGTAATGAATTATTAATGTGCACAAATATTGTAGCATGTATGAAGTGGGGACCAGCAAAAGGTGAAGTGCTAGTTGCCATGACACCAGTCAGTTCAAGTTAAGGTTCGTGATCTTTAACTTTGTCTCAAAGAGGCATTAGAAGAACATAAAGGGAGAATCTCAAATGGCTTGTGTATCAATTCCTAGGTGCACTGCCATCACTGAATTCAAGAGGGGCACCTAAGATAACTTCCCAGCACCTAGACTGCTGTGTTCTAGCAACCCCAAGGACAGCATGGGCTATCTAGGCCAGTCAGTGCCAATGAGTAAGTGGTTTCCTGAGTTAGCTGCTGTTCACAGTGCTCAGCAAAGTGAACTCAAAACTCCCTGCCATCAAACTGGAAACCAACTCATAGCTGAGCCATCAGCAGGTTCTCACAACTTCATGGCAGGATAGATTTCCTATCTTTCTCCCTTGGAGCAACTAGGGGACTTAAACCATGTCCCTTAAAAAAAAAAACAAACCAAACCATGTCCCTTTGAATTTGCAAGCAACGTGACTCCCTCTACACCAGGCATCCAGAGCTCCTGACTTGGCAAGGTTAGCCAGATATTTAAAGTTAAGTAAGAAAACGACACTCTAAAAATAAAAAAAAAGATAATAACACT